GGGTGGGGAGAAAGGAGCCAACTAGGTTCTGTTTGTGGGGGAAGGTCATCAGGAAATAAGGCTATGGATCGTATTCATTCTGGTCCTGGTTCTCTCATTAACTCATTCTGTAACTTTAGGAAAGTTATTTTTTATCTCTGGGCCTCAGTTTTCCCTAAGTGCCTGCTCTGTATGGGTTTAACTAAATGAGTTTAACCAAAATGACCTCTACATTCTCTTGCCATCTCCAGCATTTGATGTTCTATGAGTTTAAGGGATCCATCATCTCTAACATTCTTTCACAGGAGCACTCATTGGTTAATGACATTCTACCAAATGACAAATAGGAAGAATTTAGAGAAACTTGCTAAGAGTTGTGTGTACTGACACAGTGATGCAAGCAGAGGAAAGAGAACAATTTTTATAATGACCACAGTACTGAAAGATAGCTGAACTCGGATCCATGCAGTTACCAGTCTCGACCCTGGAGGACTGATAATGAAATACACCCCACCTTTCAGGAAAGAGGTCACAGACTTCAGGGATAGAATCATTCACGGCTAGCATGCTGGTTTGTTTTGATTTTTAAGGGAGGGGCCTATTGGGAGTAGGTAGGTGGAGGTTACTGAGAAGTAACAGTGATGCTAAAAAACTAATAAGTCATTATTTTAAAATATATGCCTTCTTACATTTATTCACACATAGATGTATACGTCTTTATTCCATCCATATTTCCTGAAAGAATATAAGCTCCTTGAGGGCAGGGACTATTTCACTTTAAACATTTTTGGACCTCCTCAGCTGATGGCAGGACCTCACTTTCTTTTTGCTAAGTTGACCCAAGTGCTTCAACCACTTATTAAATATCTATTACATACAACGCCTTGTGCTGATGAAGAAAAAAGAAAGAGATACAGAACGGACTTGTGATTTCTTCTGTGTAGGAACCTCCTTGATGATGAAACTCCCTCTTCCGATACACGTCATCGTTTTGTTGGGGGTTTTTTGCAATTTATAGTCTTAGCGAGATGCCCACAGAACTGAGAATTTCAGTGGCTTGCCAAGGATCACACAACCAGTACGTATCAGGGGCAAGACTCAAACCCAGGCCTTCCTAGTTCCAAAGCCAGCTGTCAATCCATTATACCATGTTACTTCTCATACAATAAAAAAACCAAAAAACCCAAAGGGAAATAGATATATAAGACACTTTGTCTTCAAGGGGCAAGGGCGATAACACATATATACAGATAAATATAATATCTAACAGAACAGAAACATACTAAATTGTAAGGTCCATAAAGGTAAAGACCAGGTTTTAAGCATCCTTGTTATCCTGTAATTTTCCTAGATGATGCTGGATTACGCCTTTGTCCACTTTACCTTATATGATTCTACTTATTCATGTCATAGCCCTCCTATTAACCTGAAAGCCCTTTAGTATTGTTTTCTATCACAAATCCTGCGCACTGAACACAGGGCCTTTGCACACAACAGATGCTTAAAAAGCAATTGCTGAATTTTAACAAAGAGCATCCCCTTATATGATGCCGTGCTTGTAGAAGGATGCTCTCTTTTTTGTATTCATCTGCCATTGCCCACCTTTGCATCCATCTTTTATAATTATCTTTTAAAAGTTAGGTTGATTGATTGGATCTGTGTATATATCCATCTGTATCTAGAGGCAATTTTCCCTTTTCTCCTTATTAGAGCTGTGTACGTTTGGCATCAAAAACTCCTGTACCAATTTTCCAAAAATTTTGTTGTTGTTGTTTAGTCATTTTCCAGTCATGTCCAACTCTTCATGACCCTTTTTGGGGGTTTTCTTGGTGAAGATACTGCAGTGGTTTGCCATTTCCTTCTCCAGCTCATTTTACAGATGAGGAAACTGAGGCAAACAGAGTTAAATGACTTACCCAGGGTCACACAGCTATTAAGTGTCTAAGGCCAGATTTGAACTCAAGAAGATGAGTCTTTCCAACTCCAGGCCAGACAATTTATCCACTGTGCCATCTAGTTGCCCTGAATTCTAAGAATACCTCCTACAAATTTTCCTACATTACATAATCAATGTCTCCGATATTTAAAATGGTAATAATGATGATCATTCTTCTTATAATAACTTACATCTATCTATCATTTCTGAAACAAGCCTTACCATTGGGCAGCTGCAGAAGGAAGGACTGAATAAAAGTAAAACAAAGAAAAGGAAGGGACCATATGAACCAGAGGAACCATCCTATACATGCTCAACTGGGATCTTTCCAGATACCTTTCTGGATCTCTCCCTATGTCTTGTTGTGGCATCTCTTGGCTAAAGACGTTGTTCATGTGGTGGTTGCCTCGCTTGCATTACCACAGCTGGGCCCTGGGAGGCAAACAACTCAGAGCTCAGGAAGAACAAGGGGAATTAGTCCAGAATAAGTTGAGTGCCTAAGGGCATTGCTCTTAGCCCGATTCTTTTTCCTTAAGACATTTTTCCTTTTCCCTGAGGGCAAGACCCTTTTGGCAGTCTCAGCCACTGATATCAGAACATGCTCTTTCCCTATTCCTCTGTGAAGGCAAATTTTCCCCTATGAAGGCATGTCTGATTTTTTAGAAAAGGTCAAAAGATATTTGGAGGCAAGTGTGGTAAATAACTGAACGATAGGTCAGTCAATATCATTTTGAGTCAAAAATAATTTGTGAGTATCAAATATTAATCTATCCAGGGGTTCTTAAACTGGGGTCCATGAACTTAGAAAAAATTCTGAGAAGTATATTTCAATATGATTGGCTTCCTTTGTAATCCTATGTATTTCATTTTTTTTAAAAGCATTTAAAAGCCTTGTTCTGAGAGCAGATCCATAGAAGTCAACCAGACTAGCTGCCTAACACACAAAAGGTTAAGAATTCCTAATTCAGAATGATTTTCTTGCATGGCTCATAATTGGGGCTAGGAAGTCCCTGAAGGCAGCACCCCCTAATTTAGATGTCTAATTCCTGGTATGTTTATCTGAACGTCTCATGACTTCATCATCACACCTCATCCTTTATAGTCAGGAGGACTAGATAGTTTTTCTTAATAATAACCATGGGAATCTACTGAGCAGATGGTCACAGCAAATGATGCTCAATAAGGCACTCCACGCTTACATTGCTAGATGTGTTTTTATTATCCAATGGCTTTGACTCTAAGTAGAAACCCTGTTGAAGGCTTCTTGTCAGATCAGTGAACAGAGCAGGGCAAAAATAAATAGCGCCCAAAATAGTCTGAAAGCATATCACATTTTGAGAAGGATAAGACTATTAAATCAACTACACACCTAGCAAAGTTACCTCTAAGCATCTGAAAGGGAAAGCCATGTTTATGCTACTGATGAGATTCCCCAAGGGCTAACCAGGCAGATTCTAATCCTAGAAAATTACAAAACCACCATTTGTCAGTCTTGGAAGGGACTTTATGTTAGAACACAGAAAACAGGCCCTCAGAGTGAGAAGGTACCTTAGAAAAGACAATCTTAGAACACCAAATGTCAGAGCAAGAATTGACCTTGGGGGACATCAAAGCCAATGCATTTATTTTACAGAGGAGGAAAATATGGCAAGACTATGATGTAGGGGCAGTTGGGCTGTCTAGTGGATAGAGTGCTGGGCCTGGAGTCAAGAGGACCTGAGTTCAAATGCGAACCTCAGACACTTACTAGCTGTGTGACCCTGGTCAAGTCACTTGACTCTCTGTGCCTCAGTTCCCTCATATGTAAAATAAGCTGGAGGAGGAGATGGCAAACCACTGTAATACCTTTCCTAAGAAAATCCCAAATGGGGTCACGAAGAATCAGACACAACTGAAAACAACTTGACAATAATAACAAGAGCAACGTAGGCCTCTTTGCTCTTGGCTTCCTCATCTATTTCATGGGGACACAGTTCTGCATTCTTTCTACTTCATAACTTGTCTGTCTGTCTCTCCAAGCTGCCAGAGCAGGGCCAAGCTGTTATGTGGCCCGTTAAGCATCAATTAAGAAACCAAGGAGCCCAGGATGGGATGAGGGGAGTTCAAGCAGCTAGATATTCCAGCAGTCACTTTGACAAATTATTCTGTATAGCTCCAGCAGACAGAACGGGGACCCATGGCTGGCACAAGTTACAGGGAAGCATATTTCAGCTCAATCCAAGGAGGAACTTTTAACACTCAGAGCTGTCCAGTAGTGGAAAGGGATGCTTGGGATGAGGATAATGAGGGGCCCATCAACGAAGGTGTTTGAGCAAAGGCTGGAAGACCTTTTGTTAGGAATGTTTCATAAGGGACCACTGCAACAGAGCTGGAGATGAGGGGGAGAAGAGAAGGGCAGTGGAAGGGAGAGAAGGTTAGACTAAATGATCTTCCAAGTTCCTTCAAAGAATAAAGAGTCCTGCCCTTCTTGCTAGGAAGAAATAATCCTCGGTTGTTAATAACTGGAGAATTCCTATTTTAATTGGGGGCAGAAACAACACTTGGTTGTTAATAACTGGAGAACTCCTATTTTAATTGGAGGTAGAAACAATACTTGGTCGTTAATAACTGGAGTACTCCTATCTATTTTCTATATGAAGGTTCCTAGGGCTTTGGCCGTCATTCTAATCCTCTCCCCTGGGGTCTCCCTGCCTGGTCTTGTGAGGATTTTTTTTTTTTTTTGCTGAGGCAATCAGGGTTAAGTGACTTGCCCAGAGTCACACAGCTAGTAAGTGTTACATGTCTGAGCCTGAATTTGAACTCAGGTCCTTCTGACTCTAAAGCCAGTGCTCTATCCACTGCACCACCTAGCTGCCCCTCTTGTGAAGACTGAGGTAGAATAATGTGGCGATATGATCATAAGACTTGTAACCAGGAGTCCTGGATTCATATCCCAGCTCTGACATTTATGAGCCATTACCATGGTCAAGTAACTTTCCTGCTCAATTTTTCCCATCTGCAAAATGGGCATAATAATTCTTGCATGCCTCACAGGGTTATGGTAAGGAGAGTGTTTTGTCAAGTACCATAGACATAGGCCACTTACCCTCCGTCGAAGGGATTCTCTCCAGGGACGATGTGGGTACTGTCCTTTCCTACAAGGAACTTGATGCGATCGTAGAAGGAACGCAGGTTCTGTGAGGATACGGGTGCCTGTGTCTCCTGGATGATGTCCACAGGGTCAGGCGAACCGAGGCACAGAGCACTAACGTGACACTGGGGCTGCAGGCAGCAATCTGGGTCCATGCAGTCCACCAAGCCATCTGTGGAAAGACCAGAGGGTGTTCCTAAGTTATCATGGGTACACCCCAAAAGTCATGGGTTGTAAGTGGCAAAGTTGGAACTGAAACCCAGTTCTTTTGACTTCAAATCCAGGGCTCTTTTCAGTATGATATGTAACTATACAACATGTAACTAAATCTATAATTACACCAGGGCTGCTAGGTGGCGCCATAGTGCACAGGGTGCTGGGCCTAGAGTCAAGAAGTCTCATCTTCTTGAGTTCAAATCTGGCCTCGGATACTTACAGCTGGGCAAGTCACTTCACCCTATTTGCCTCAGTTTCCTCATCTGTAAAATGAACTGGAGAAAGAAATGGCAAGCTACACCAGTCAACTTTCCCAAGAAAGCCCAGAAAGGGTCAACAAAGAGTAGGATAGCACTGAAATGACAACAACAACAATAATAAATAATAAGAAGTTGGAATTTCCTTCCTTGGGAATTCCCTTCACCAATAAAATTATAGGTCCATTCCCTATCTCTAATTAATAGGAAAAGAATAACAGCAATAATAGCTTAGATTTATACTGCACTTTAAGGTTTTTAAAGTGCCTCACAAATTGTCTCATCTGATCCTCACAACAATGCCATGTGGTGGGCGCTACGATCATCCCCACTTTACAGATGAGGGAACTGAGGCTCAAAGTGACTAAAAAACTTGCCCAAGGTTATACAACTGTTAAGTGTCTGAGGCAAGACTTGGCCTTATTAACTCCAAGTCCCTCATTTCTATTCACTATGCCAAATGCATACAGCATGGGCCAGATGTCTTCAGGAATTTTCAAAGCTTAAAAACATCATATTTATAATCAAATACGATAATGATAATTGCCAGAAAATCTATCTAATGTGAGAGGCAGTATATCCCAATGATTGGGGAGCCAGCCTCAAAGTCAAGACGGTCTGCATTCAAGTCTTCTGACCCATCCCACATGGGCCTTGTGACCCTGAGCAAGGCACCTAACTTCTCCATAAGACAGGCAACCCTCCCTCTAAACCTGCGAATGGCAGAACACGTGCCAATAGACATCGATGGAAGGAGTTTCCTCAATGGGGGAAATCACAGATCTGGTCTTAAAAAAATTAACCTTTTTTTTTTTTAAATTAAAAAAGTCCTACACGAAACAGGGCAGTGTTAACCTAGAGGAAGGTCTCTAGGGTTGACCATCCCAGGACTCTGACCATAACTTTTACTTGTCGAACACTTTTATCCATGATTTGGATGAAGGTGTTGATGAAATGCTTCTCAAGTTTGGATGACACAAAATTGAGAACAAAGATCAATATGATGGATTACAGAATTAGGGTCCAAAAAGATGAGTAGAAACTGACAAGCCAGAATTTAATAGGGATCAATGTAAATTCTTGCGCTTGGGATAAAAAAAAAAATAAGCCTGGAAAGGATGGGGTAGGAGTGAGGGGGTGAGTTGGAAGCAGTTTATAAGAAAAAGACTAGGGAATCCTATAAATTGGCAACTATAGATATGGGTCAGGCATATGATGATAAGGAAGGCAAAAAAGCTAATGAAATTCTAATGGAGACATGCTAGAGTCCAGAGCAAGGACAGTGATAGTCCTAAAGTATCTGCCCTGGTCAGGTCACAGCTAGAGTATTTTTTCCAAGTTTTGCCCCATTTTGAGGGGTCACTGGTGATCATGGCACATATCTAGAGGCAGATGACTAAAAGAAGGATTACACACCATTAGGAGCAACAAGTGAAGAAGAAACTGGCGATGTCTAAGCTACAGAAGAGAAAACTAGGTGGGGGATAGTGTTCTATTCAAATATCAATCAATCAATGATTAATCAATTTATTATCTGAAGGGTTTTCATGAAGAAAACTGACTTAAACTTGTCCTCTGGGGATCTCTTCAGTAAAACTAGGATCAGCGTACAATGTACAGGGAAGCAGATTTTGGCTCAAGAGAAGGAAAAATTTCTGAACAATAAAATGGAATGGACTGTACTTAAGGTAATTTATATTTATAGTGATTTCCCCATGATTCTAAGTAGTAAAGGAAGAATTGAGGACTACTTGTTGCTAATGTTAAAAACAGAATTAATGATTTGTGTAGGGGTTAGATTGGCTAATCTTTGACATTGTTCACAAATCTAAAATTTTCATAATTTTATGATAGCTCTACTTTAATGGTAACAATAATAACAGCTAGAATTTATATGGCACTTCAAAATTTGCAAAGTGCCTTACAAATATTGTCTCATTTTATTCTCCCAGCAATCCTGGGAGGTAGGTGCTGTTATTACCCTCCACTTTAACAGAAGAAGAAACAGAGGCAAACAGAGGTGAAGTGCCTGTCAGGGTGACACGGCTAGTGTCTGGGGTTGGATTTGAACTCAGGTCTTCCTGACTCCAGTTCAGCACTATCTAATACACCATCTAAATGTCCATGTGAATCATTAAAATAGCAACTAGTTATTACGAATAATTTGTTAAAAAAGGAGTTAGGATATGAAACAAGATTTAAAAGAACTAAACCAACTAGGTACAATACATGTCTCTTTCTCTAGACTGTTATCTGTGACTGCTTAACTTAATCTAGTTTTCTGAAGCCTGAGAAGAATTGATTAGGAACTTCTGCTCAGGATCTGAAGACTCTGTTGGCTATTTTTCTTCTGAAGCAGCTACTCTGGGGATTTTTCAGGATAGTTTGCACCTTACAGTCCCCTTTCAATATCAAACACTTTTACTTAACAAGTATCCTAATTACTCTAGCTAGGACTCTGTTTATGGGTCTAACCAGAAACTGAAAGTCGAGGCACCCTATTCTTTGTGAGTTCCCTAAATAAAGAATTGTTTGCAAAGTCTCCTTATGACATGACTCTCTTTTGCCATCCTTCAATCAGAAAGTTTCCTTGACAATGCTCTTCTTTTTCACCCCTTGTTTTCTTGTTCCTTTGACTACAACAGTTGCGTCCTGCCCAGCTTTTCTAGTCTCTACTGATCCATTAAGATTTAGCTTCTCCCTGAAGTCTTCCTAGATTCCCTTAACAAGAAGTTATCTTTCCTTATTCTGAATGACCTCTGCTCCTCTCTTGTTCCACCTTTCACATTCTGTCTTGTATTCTGATTCACTGTGCATTTGTCACATTCCCCCCAACCCCCACCTTCGTGAACACGAGGTTGATGAAGGTCAGGATCTTATCTATTTATCTTCTTTGTATTCAATCCATGAAATGACTTTGATGTAGGAGGAACTTAGTCCATGCCCACTAAATGAATGAATGAGTGGCTTATGTTCTTAGCTGTTTTCCACAAAGCAGGTAGGGGTCATGTAACACGATGAAGCGTCAGCTACAGGAACACGGTACACATCCACCTCTCTGCTCTCTTTAAATTATTTCATGCTGTAGTTCAGCCAAGATTACAGCTTCAGCTGAGATGAAATCACCCATGAGCCACGTTTCAGAGGCTGACTGCAATCTGCTCCCCCTGCCTGGCTCCGTCTGTGCAGATGCCCTTGGTGGGACCGAGGCACAGAGGCCAGGAGACAAGAAGGTACTCGGCTTTCTGTGCAACTGGCATCTGTGCATTTCAGGATGAGGTATCCACTCCCTCTCCCTCCAGAGCACAGCCCAGTAAATGTATGAGGCTCTATGCACCAAACAGACAAGACAGCTTGGAGATGCAACATGCTTTCCTGAGTTAAATGGGGATTCGGACACTCTAATTTATGGCTTCTGCTCTCAGGGACCCATCCTTCTTCTACATATGATCTTTATGCATATCACTTAACCCTTCTGGGACTCATTTTTTAAAAAATAGAGCTGCTGTTCACAGACTGTTAAAGCTGGGAGGAGCTTGAAATGAAGAATGTTAGAACACCAAACACAGAGTGTCAGAGCTGAAACGGGCCTGAGAACAGACATCCATGCATCCCTAGAGTATAAAGGGACCTTGATCATCACCTGCTTCACAGACTTGCAGACGCTCACAGCTTATTTAAGCCAGCCTCTAAGCCCCTCTACAGCTTTAGCTAGAGGACCACCAGGGAAGATCACTTGTCCAAGGTCCCACAAAAAATTAGCAGGAAAGTGAGAGCTTTTCAGCCTTCCTGAGAGCACATCAAATAGATGTGAGGAAGATAGTATAGTAACCCCATTTTACAGATGAGAATACTGAGGCTCACAAAGACTACGGAGGCAGCCACTGAAACAACTGGGATTTGAACAAGCATCTGAAATCCCTTGGAGGAGGCAGCAAGGGCAATGACATGATAGAGAGGATTTCCACAGGTGGAGATAAGGGGGAAGACATTCCAGGTACAGGAATCTCACCACACAATCACACTGAAGGTCAGAGACAAGTGATTTCAAACTTGTTCCCTTCCCATCCCACACCTGCTGCCTCAAATGGGTAGCCTGAGGGTTGACCTTGCCCCACAGACTGCAAGGTGGACCGGGCAGTTTTCATTCTGGCCTTAAATGAGGAGGTGGAAATGAGTGGGCTCGGAAGCCCCTTTCAACTCTAACTCTTTACACTCTATTTTCTAACATTTTATATTCTAAACTCCTTTCCAGCTCTAAGAGTCACAGGATTATAGAATTATAGAGCTGGTGTGAGAACGGATCTCACAGCCCATCTAGTCCAACACCTTCATTTTACAGATGAAGGAACTGAGTCCCAGAGACATTGAGTGCCAAGCCTAAGGTCACCCAGGTGGAGACTGAAGGAGGATATAATCACAAGGCTGTCATGGTAGATCCATTATTCCTTCCGCTGTGCCTCAACCTACACTCTGCGCCTAATACTCCACATTCTGCAGTCCCTTTCAGCTCTTAAATTCATCCTAAGCTTCAATCAGTGGAGGCCAGAGCCTCCGGCTCTTTGCGGACCAACTGGTAAGCCATAGAAATGAATACATTCCTTTGAAAATCATCCCCTAAAGTCTCCAATCCTCATTCATTTGCTTATCAGAGACCAATAAGCACCCCCAGGCTGAAAGGAATCCTTCCAGCATTCCC